TTGTTTCCAGGTTCTGGCTATTACGAATACTTCTGCTATGAACATAGTTGAGCATGTATCTTTGTGGTATGACTGAGCATTCCTTGGGAATATATATGCCCAAGAGTGGTATGGCTGAGGTCTTGAGGTCCCAATTTTCCAAGAAACTACCATACTGATTTCCAGTGGTTGTACAAGTTTGCACTCCCACCAACAGTGGAGGAGTGTTCCCTTTGCTCCGCATCCTCTCCAACATAGACTGTCATTAGTGTTTTTGATCATAGCCATTCTGACAGGTGTAAGGTGGTATCTCAGAGTCGTTTTGATTTGCATTTCTCTAATGATTAAGGATAATGAGCATTTCTTTAAATGTCTTTCAGTCATTTGTGATTCTTCTTTTGAGAATTCTCTCTTTAGCTCTTTAGCCCATTTTTTAATTGGATTGTTTAGTATTTTGATGTCTAGTTTTTTGAGTTCTTTATATACTTTGGAGATCAGCATTCTGTCAGACGTGGGGTTGGTGAAGATCTTTTTCCATTCTGTAGGTTGTCTTTTTGTCTTATTGACCGTGTCTTTTGCCCTACAAAAGCTTCTCAGTTTCAAGAGGTCCCATTTACTAATTGTTGCTCTCAGTGTCTGTGCTGCTGGTGTTATATTTAGGAAGTGGTCTTGTGTGCCAATTCGTTCAAGACTTTTTTTTTTTTTTTTTTTTTTTTTTTTTTGAGGAGGAGTATTCAAGACAGGAGTTTCAACCTGGCCTCAAACTTGCAGATCTGACTGCTTCTTCCTCCCAAGTGCTAGGATTAAAAGTATGAACCACCACTACCCTGCTTGGAATGCTCAGTTTGGGGGGGGGGGTTGTTTGTTTGTTTTTGGTTTTGGTTTTAGTTTTTGTTTGTTTTCTTTTTCTTTTTTCTTTTTTTTCCAGAGCTGAGGACTGAACCCAGGGCCTTGCACTTTCTAGGCAAGCGCTCAATCACTGAGCTAAATCCCCAACCCCTGGAATGCTCAGTTTTAAAGCAACATATTTAGCTCAATTCCCTCCTAAGTCTCAGGGATCACTGTGGAAGATATAGCAGGAAAAGCATAAAAGGTAGAAGTGTTCTCTGTTCCTCTAGCCCCAATACCCTCAGCTTGTCCCTTGTGCTACAACAGATCACCAGCCTCCCCACTGTCCACATCTCCTGTGGATCCCACAGACAATCCTCTCTTAACCTCCCTCCCCCAACTACTTGCTGCAGCCCACCCTCCAGCACCAGCAGGCATTCCCTGTGAACACAACAGAGGAAGGTCAACAAATCAGGCAACACACAGCCATCACACTCTTTCAAAAATCCAAAGAGGAAACAGAAACCAAGGAGCATAACACACACCCAACAGGGACAAATCCAGACCTAATAATCATTCCAAACTCAGATAACCTAGATGCCTGAGTAGGAACTTAATCAATAATAGCCAAGGCAATAAATATATTTCCACCAGAGTCCAGCTATCCTACCATAGTAGGCCCTGAATACTCCAAAATAGCTAAAACACAAGAAAAAGACCCTAAAGCCAACTCTATGCAGGTGAAAGAGGTCCTTAAAGAGGAATGAACAAATCCTTTAAAGAAATCCAGGAAAACATAAATAAACAATTGGAAGAAATGAATAGAGCCTTTAAAGAAAGCCAATAATAAACAAACAGTTGAAGGAAATGGAGGGAAAAAAATACTCTCCCAGATCTGAAAACAGAAATAGAAACAATTAAGAAAACACAGGCCAGGCGGTGGTGGCCCATGCCTTTAATCCCAGCACTCGGGAAGCAGAGGCAGGTGGATCTCTGTGAGTTCGAGGCCAGCCTGGGCTACCAGGTGAGTTCCAGGAAAGGCGCAAAGCTACACAGAGAAACCCTCTCTCGAAAAACCAAAAAGAAAAAAGAAAACACAAACAGAAAATTCTGGAAATGAACAATTTAGGCATGCAAACAGAAACCACAGAAACAAACTCAACCAATAGAATACAAGGGATGGAAGAAAGAATCCCAGGCATTGAAGACATGATAGAAGAAGTGGATGTATCAGTCAAAGACAATGTTAAATCTAAAAAAAAAAAAAAAATCCTGACACAAAACATTAAGGAAATCTGGGATACTATGAAAAGACCAAATATATGAAACAGGAATACAGGAAGGAGAAGGATACCAGCTCAAAGGCCCAGTAAACATTTTCAACAAAATCATAGGAGAAATTTTTCTTAATCTAAAGAAAATGCCTATAAAGGTACAAGAAGCATACAGAACAACAAACAGATTAGACCAGAAAAGAAAGTTCCCCCACCACATAATAATCAAAACACTAAACATACAGAACAAAGAAAGAATATTAAAAGCTGCAAGGCGAACAGATCAAGTAACACATACAGACAAGGCTATTAAAAATATACCTGAACTCTGCAATGAGATCCTAAAAGCCAGAAGGGCCTGGACAGATGTGATGTAGACTCTAAGAGACCAGATATGGCACCCCAGAATATTATACCCAGGAAAATTTTTAATCATCATGGATGGAGAAAATAAAGTAACCCACGATAAAGTCAAATATAAACAATATCTATGTACAATTCCAGCCCTATAGAAGGTGTTTCTTTTTCCTTCTTTTTTTTTTTTTTT